AATCTCTAATTATTAAATCACACACGCGTCGCATACTCGCGCGCGCGCCAGTCCGCTGCGACGCAATTTCGAGGGCCGACTCTCGTGTAGTGTTTTATTCTTTTTCGTCCCATTTTTTCGGTGCTGGGAGATGAACGTAACGTGAGCTCCATGAAAGTTCAAAACACACATAGACATGCGTGCGTGCACGTACATACATATACAGACTCGGTCATGATTTCACGTAGCCATGTGAAGCGCCGTAAAATCGTTGCGAGAGTTTTCGACGAAAGATATTAGAGAACGCGAGCAAAGAATTATATATATAGTTATACGTCGTAAATGGGAAATGGGAAAAGTTCCGAGGGCAACGGCGAGAATAGCGAAAATGGCGAAAGAGACTCGCTATTGTATCGAGAATAGCAGCAAGGACACGGTGATCCGCAAATAAATTCGATTGAATTATAATTGAATTTCATCGGAATCGATTCGAGCGGTTCACTCGCACCGAATTATCGCAGTATTCTTCATTTCTCTCTTTTTGCGTGCCCACACACACACAAAGAGAGAGGAAGAAAAAAGGAGAGAAAGAGAGCTGCTGCTGACTCTCTTCCCAAGTCCCTTCCCACATGTTCCTATCGAACGTTCCAGCAAAACCGCTGGAAACGCAAGGAGCGCGTGTTTCAAGAAATTTCTCACCGCGATCCCCGCGTCAAGCGCTAAAGTCGATGCCACTCGATAATTGTTTCTCCGCGCGTTTCTCAATTTATTTTAGTTATCGTTTCATAAAATCGGTTCCGGGGGAGACGTCGCCGAATTCGCGACGGAGTGCTCTGGGTGGAACTCGAAGGGACGCTGCTACTCCTGCGACTTGATCGCGTCGCACGATCGTGAATTCCGCCTCTGTATTCGATTATATAAAAAGATTCCGGAGAACAGGTGTGGGTTCAGTAGACCCGAACGTGGCAGCCGAGCAACGGTTAAACATAGGTTCGCGATATTACTACGAGAAGGAACGACAACGAAGAATGTCGCCCACTTCGTGCACCGAAATGTACGAGCGATCGCTCGCGTGATCGCGAAACGTGAGGAGGAAGCTCGCGGACGCACGTGCGTCCGGCTCCGCTATCGAACGTCTCTCATCGAGCTGCCCTTCCCGGAGGAACTGGTCGGTCGGTGCGAATGTGTGCCTCGCGACCGCGCCTCCTCGCGTGCGTGTAATAGAACGGTCCCTTAAATCTTTTAATCTGAGGGTGCTGCGGCAGAGCTGCGCCGCGGCCTGAGTAGGTAGGTAGCGGTTCTCGCGCGCGCGCGACCGAAGCGGCGAACTTCAGTCGGTCGCGTTAACTCACCGTTGCGCAATCCAATTTGCGCCTCGCCCAGAAATTATGCGTGACGCACACACGCTCGTGAATCGTCCGCGCGACCGCCAGCGTGCAAGAGGCGAGACAGGTCGCGACGTCATGGTGTGGCGTTATTTATGTTTCGTGATGTGCAAATAAAACCGATCCGGGAATCTTTCATTCCAATCGTCGCGTCTATCGCTCGACGATCCGCTCGGCATCGTCGATTGGCGAAGCCGCGCGCAGTCGGCTACCCGAGATGGATTAATTCCCTTTAAATGGGTTAAATAAGGCGTCGCGCGTCTTGGGGACTGTTAAAATTTAGGATGAGAAGCGCGTCGTCCAATCATCCGTCACGTCGGCACGACATTTACGATTTCGAGCTCGATATAAATCTCTCTCTCTCTTTCTTTCTTTCTTTCATCCTTTAAAATTGTATCCGTTGTGGAAGCGTGCCGATTGAATTGCGGGGCTTGAATATAATTTGCACATTTTCAGAACTAAATTATATTTTACTTTACTTTGGAGAATTACCAATGATACTTTCGCCGATTATACTTTGTTAGTTGATTATGCGTGATAATTACATGATCGCACGATTATATTTTATATTTTTATACGCTTGAGTGGAGTTATCTCAGAGCGTTGAAAAAAATACGTCTTATCCATCCCTTTCTCACTTGCGAATACATTTATCGCGAGCGACGCACCATCGAATTGCATTTTCGCAGAATGATTAATGACGTCGTAGCTCTGCCCGACCGTGCGTGGGTCGTGATTCGCGTCCGAATATATCGGAGTCGAAAGCGCGAAAAGTTTCATTGAGAATCGCCGCGGAAAACGTGCCGCTAACGATGACGACACTTCGTCGACGCGCGTTCAACGCCAATAAACGCAGCTGTGCCAGTTAATCTCCCGAGTCGACATTTTGGCTCTGTACTAAATCTTTAATTCTACAACACAGTAGAAACCAAAGTAGCTAAATAGGTTCGGATCCGATGATATAATTTACTTTTCCTTTGACCATGAAGATGTCTTACATTTCTATTTTCGCTGATTTAGCGTCAAAATAGATTGATTTTTACTGTAGCATTAAAATTAAATTTGTAGATTTGAAAATTCGAGAGAGAAGTTAACAGCGGTCGTCAAAGTAGATTTTTACTGGCCTGTAAGCCATCTAAGTAAGCGCGAATTATCCTTAAGATAGTTGGTCTGTAAATTTATTTCCTTAGGGATCTTTTCAAGTTTTAACAATATACTAATCGAAACATAATCTACACGTATGCAAAATTAGGAAAAGAACAGCCACACCGAAGCTGAGATAATTTAAGTTACTACACTATTTACACATATCCTAAGTACGAAAATGGTCTTTGATGTCACGTTATTAATTCTAGAGAACGAACTATTCTTACGGTTTTAGTGAAAAACGAGAAGGCGGTAAAAGATAATTGTAGACATTTTATTAAAAATAATCATGTAGTTTTCCAAAAATTAATATATAAAGTACACAATTTTTGATAACAGTTGAAGTATATGGTAGCTAACTTGTAGAAATTTTATGAGATCGCAAACATATTTTCCTTAGTGCTTCTTAGTTATATATCATTTTAAAGATAGAATCGTTAAATAATCTTAAAGATCTGTGAGCAATACGTGAAAATGCAAAAAAAATATAAAAAATACGGAAAATTCCGACATCACAATCATTTCCGTAATAACGCGCATTCGTGTGCATCTATCGGGGAAACGCACACGAAAAAAAAATGTTGCATCAATAGAATTTCCAACAGCACACCTAATTGAAATAAATATTCTTGATTTAATAATAATATCATTAGAACTAATACTTTAATTATTGAAGCAACACATAACATAATACATTACGTAATAGTTTTAATGATATTTGCCAGTGAATAAGATTTAATCCAATACTATTAGAAATTCTATCGATTCAATATTTTGAACCATTTTTGAAGCATTTTGAAGCATTTTCCCCCGTGTATGATATATTTAGGAACATATGCCTAACACGGGCAGTCCCAGGCAAAAATATTACACGTCAAACGCAAAAAAAAACCATTATTTTTTTATAAGTTTTTGATGACATTATACGAATTTGATTGACATTCTTTTGCTATAATATCAAAGATACACATCATAAATCATATTGGTAAACATTTAGCACAGATTTGTCCAGTTTTTTTTGTGTTGTATTAACAATTACTTTTCCAACAGTTGTCGAACTAACTACCTTAAAAAAGTGTTAAAATTTCGACTCTCTCTTACATCGCATCTCGCAGATGATTTACACATTATAGATCGAACCCTGTTTCAGACTGTGACATTTCAGCACCGAGACATACCGGCACACTAAAGGTGGAAATCGTGATAGGTGGAAAAAATGAGCCGCTCGCTCGTGATAATTCAGCGTACGAGTAATCGGCGCGCGTATAATCACGCGCTATGAAACGTTCGAGCGGACGGACGACGAGCAAGCAATACAGCATGCACAGCCTGCTGCGTGGCTAATGACGGCTCGCACGAGGCATTATCGGCGAAAAAGAACGGTACCGACTCGCGCGATTGCTCAATAATCCGTTCACACGAAAGCAGCGGCAGCGACCGCCACCGCCGCCGCCACCAATCTCGCGAACCAATTTCGATCGCGAGCGATGCGAATCGTCAGCTGGAAACGCGAGGACGGGAGACGCGGGAGCAGTTTTCACGCTTTTTCTTTTTTCTGTAATACGCAAGCGAACTTCATCACAACTCCACGGCGCACTCTTAACTTCTCTCCCTCCGGTCCTGTACTTATAACGGCGATTTTTAACGCGTGCAATTAAAAGTTGCTTCAACTTTTAATAAAAGAAAAAACAAAAAAAGAAGGAAACAAAATATATACATATATATAGTTTTCTTTGTGTGTCTCGCGAGGAGACGTGCTTCCTGAGAGAACGCTGTGTCGCGTTATCCCGCAGTTTCAATCGTCTCGCAATCGCACGAATATCGTGCCGCAATTTTCCGACACTCGTGTCGCGGTCAGCCGAGTAACGACCAGGTGTGTTGGGGCGCGACGCGACTTCCTCGCCGAGGGACAACCTCCTCGGGATCGCGCGATCGCTCCGACACTCGTTCTCGCGGATAGAGAGGAAAGAGGAAACGGTCGACAACAGGCTGGCGCGGTTGAACAACATGCGAAGAAACCGAGGGAGAGGGTATTCTGCCGGTCAGGTGCAACATCATTTTCGCGAAGCACGCCCGCCGTGCCATCGATCGTTTTCAACGCTCCGGTCAGCATATACGAAGCGAGACGCGAGCCGAGCGGTACGATTCTCGCTTCGCCAAAGTGCGAAGTGACATGGCGAGCGAACCAACGAACGTACGAGCGAAAAAAACTGAAAGAGCGAACGAGAAAGCAAACAAACGAAAGAACGCGTGAGCGACCGAAGGAACGAATGAATAAATAAATGAGCGAATGAACGGACAAAAGGAGGAACGAACGAACGAATGAATGGCGGAGCAAGACGGACAGGGGAATGAACGAAAGAAATAACAAATAACCGGGATAATGAAGGAACGAAGGAAAAAACGAACGAGCGACCGAAGGAAAGAAGGAACGAACGAATACAGTTCACGAAGGGAAAGGCACCATCGCCTGGCTCGCTCGCAACTTACCAAACGGAGTCCTCGCAATCCCCTGCTTCGTCGACCGGCGTGAGTCGCCTCCTCGCGGACCGTCTTCCGCTTCGTCTCCGCTGGAAATCGCCGTAACCTCCTCGCCAAACGCCACCTCGCTGTCTTCCACGGCCCTTCGGGACGTTGCGTCGATCCGGACGAGCGAACGTATCGGCACACATATACGACACAATATACTCTACGCGAGCACGACGCGCCCCTTCTCTCTTCTTCTCGCGACGGCGTTATATCACAGTCTTCATTACTTCTTATTAATTCTTCAATTATGCACTCTCTCTCTTTTTCCCTGTCTATCCACCCGTGTGTCCGGCCTGGTTCTCTCTCTTCGTGGCGTTCGCTGCCTCCGTGATCCGCAATTTCGTCCGGCGCGTTTGTCGGTACCGGCAGCGATGGGCGTCGAGCTCCGCCTCGATAGATACCTGAGCCTCTCTCGACCTAACCTAATATCGAGAGACGGCACTGGCGTAGTTCCTCGATTCCGCGGAAAGGTTATTCGTCGCAACGAGCGACAGAGAGAGAAAGAGGGTCGTCGTTGCCGTGCGTGGCTTCCTCCGCTCGACGTCGGAGAAGCTTCGGATGTGTGTTCTTCTCTCGTGCGGACGTACACGATCGACGGTACACGGTGTGTGTCCCTCGAGCTGTGACGTTTCTTCCCGTCGATCGTTAATTTCTCTCGCCTGTACACCTTGATCCTCGCCTCTCTTTCTCTCTCTCTTTCCGTCTCTCCGCCTCTCTCTCTCTCTCTCGCGGCGGTGCTCGGATCCTTCCTCGGAACGGCACCGTTACCTCCCTCCGGTGTCACAGCGCCAACTGACAGCGGCTGGTCGTTCGCCGGTACCCTCGTGCACAGCGGCGGACAAAGATCCGACGGCGCACGAGCGGCGGCGGAAACGCCCGAGAGCCGGCCAGTCAGCTGGCTCCCCGGTGGCAGCCGACTGCATCGGTCGTGCGCCGGTGCTGCTATCCTCCATTCCTCCGGTTCGATGACGGTCGTCCACGAACTTTCCCGAGTCAGCTGGCTGTGCGCTACGTCTCTCTCTCCCGCTGCCTGCCTGCTCGCTGGCCGTCCGGCGCCCTTGCCTTCCACCATCGTCCTTTCCTCCCTCACGACCGACTATACATTTCTCTCTCTTCGACTCCTCCTCGGCCCGATCATTCGCGCGCACTCGCAGTGTCCTCTCCGGAGCGCGCTATCCTCTTACTCCGACCGGAAGCGTCCTGCAGCAGCCGCTTTCTCGCGGATGTAATATCTTCGGCAGCGCGCCTCGAAAGCAGTGGCGGCTGCAGCTACCGCCGCTCGATGACGTGGACGAGGCTTCCATACGTGTGCGATCGGTGCGCGCGTTGCACCGACTGCAGCGCGAGTATGTGTTTTCCTAATCGCGCCGCATATCGGCCACGGTACGCCGCCGGCGGCGTTCGGTGTCACAAAAGAACAAAGAGGAGGAGGAGGACGCGTAACGCGTGAAAATTATGCGCCGGCGTCGCGGAAACGAAGCAGGAAGCGGCGACTTTTCATGTCGCCGTCTCTAGCCGGAGATCGTTTCTCTTCTTTCCGGCGGTTCCATCACGCCGCCGTGATCGACGGAATTGATCGACGCGCAGCGACGGTGCGCGCGGCCGAGCAGGACGATCATTAGTCAGAATTTATTTTTACCGCAGTGACGGAAAACGCTTGCGATAGTAACTTCGACCGGCGCGACCGAGGGACAAAGAGCGGATTAATTACTCTTTGTCGTGATCGTCGAGATTGTCGGCGGAGTGGAAAATCACGAGAGGCCAAGTTTTTCGAGCGGACTTCCGCATCGCCGTTGCTTATAATTCATATGCGCGCGCGAATTTTACGACGATACGTTCATTCAACATTTCAACGAGGCGAGGCATCGTCGCTGAAACGAAAAGCCTTCGGATTTTCCGTGCTTTCGTTACACACCACGTCGCAACATCGTCGCCGCTTTGGCATCGTGGCGAGGAATCTCGCTTCCTTATCGTCCGCGCGAGCTGCATGACAATAATCCGTCGAACCGTACTGCGACCAATTGCAATTTACTTACCGTGTTCGGCCAATGGGAGATCTCGCGGAGAGCAAACTCTCGGCCTGTCACGTAGCTCCGTTCATCCTCCTCGTCGTTGGCGATATTATCGCGATAACCGCGATGCCTCTTTCTTATCCTATGTGTGTGTGTGTTTCGGCGCATATCGCGTGATGCACGCTGACCGATAACCGAGCGCGATCGATATCGGGTAGTTCTGAATTTCTCTCTCCTTATCGCCGACTCGGAAGTGAGAACGCACCTCACGTTTTGCGTCGGCCCGACCGAGAGCGGCGTGTCGAATAAAATGTCTATTGCTCACGATGAGGCGGGAGGGAGATTAATATCGAGGAAATTATAAAAAGCGACGGAGGTTTCTCGCTATCTCGTTACGAGCTAAGCTCTTCCGTTACGACGACGGTAATCTTTTACGTCGCGCGACAGTTTCAGCGGCGGACAATGGACACGGTCCCCGGAGGGAACGAGAGAGAAAGAGAGAGGAAGAGGACTCGCGAGGGTCGGAGGTCACCAGAAATGCGCCACCACACCCGAGAGACGATGACTCTACGGTGAATTAGAAGGCCTCCCGCAGCGAGCGAACGCTCGAGGAAAGAAGACAAAGCCGAAAGAGGAAAACAAAGTTTCGCGCGATAAAGATCGCGTCTGCGAGCTGGCGAACTTTCGGCATCGAGGGGCGACAATGTTCTTCCGGTGCGACGCTGTCTAGCCGTAAATTGAAACGCGCCCAGCAAACACAACGCGAAAGCTACGCCGAAAATTAATTCTCCGCTCCAGAGATACGCGCGCGCGCGGCCGGTGTGATCTCGCGCGACTCGCGATCGAAACACGACGGAGTAGTGATTTTGCTTCAGGTAGTTAGTCCGTGACAATACTGTTTCAGAGAGGTAATGCTTAATATAGCACGATGAAGTTCGACAAATCTGTGGTAAATATTTATAAACATGATGATTTATGATATACACCTTTGACATTGTAGCGAGAAAATATCAATCAAACTTTGATAATGTTTCAAGTCGTAAAGAGATCATTGTTTTTTTGCGCTTTGACGTATAAAACTTTTGGCTGGAACTGTACCTGTGTATATTGAATATATATTCGGGTGAATATATCATACGTACTCCGATAGACACACGCAAATGTATGCTATGAAATGATCGAGACGTTTTCCCGTATTTTTTCTGTACTTTTCGCATTTCTACGTATTGATTGCGAATCTTTAAAATTACTTAACTATTTTATCTTTAAAAAGATACCTAAATCTAAGATACAAAGAGACATGTGTGCGGGTGCGTGTGTGCGTCTTACAGGTAACTGTCATATATTTCAACCGTTATCGGAAATTATGTATTTTACATATCGATCTCTGAAAAACTAGATAGTCAACGATCTTAACATTTTCCTATAATATTTCTAAAGTCTTTTCTATTGTCTTCTTCGTTTTTCATTGAGATCGTAAGAGTAGTTCTTGGCTGCTAAAATGAAAAACATGATATCGGAAGTCGTCTTGATATTTACAATACATAGTGTTAAATTTCAACTGTCTCAACTTTGGTCAATCTTTTTTCTAATTTTATATATATGTATTGATTGTATTTCTCGATTAATATATTGTTAAAATTTTTTGGAAAGGTTTCTAGGAAAGTTAATTTACGAACAAACTACTTTAAACAACAGTTACAATTTGTATTAATTCATTAAAAATTCATGCAAATTAAAACTAACTATATCCAATTATTTCGAATGAGATGTTATTTCAAATTATTCAATTAAGTTATTATTGAAAACTGAAGATACTCTCTTGATCATTAGAAAGGACACTCATGGCTGAGAGGATTAAAACAAGATATTATTTATTTGTTCGTTATTTATTTGTAAAGTTGACTCTCCTTTATGTCCTCGCGCCAATTGCCCAGGGTAATTTTTTCACCGAATAGGAGAAAGACCACAACGTGTGGCTTTCATTTTGTTTGCGAATTTCTCGATATTGACGTTAAAGTGTACGGAGATAATTGAATTGATTCTTTTATTGCGCTATGAGTCTCGTGCATTGGCTCTTTTTATGGCCCAATATTGGAAATTAATGTGCGAATATCGCAAAGCTTATTTCATTGTTTTTTTATAAGATAAAATAACTTTGATTATCTGTAAAAGATACTTAATCACGTTTCATATTTATATGCATACACAACGGTCAATCAATTTCTACCGTTATACATTTTTTTTCGACAATCTCTCCGCACTCTGTACGGAGTATGGAATCTCAGTGCGCCTCCCGAGACCTGTCGAACTTCATTGCAGAATTAGTCCTCCTCGTACTTGTCACAATCAAGATGCGTTAAGCTCGAGAGAGAGAGAGAGAGAGAGCGCTCCCGTAGTGTTATTCTTTCTTCTCTTTTTTAATGGAATCAGAAAGGCGTCGATATCGAAAGACAACTATATGTGATTCACGATTCACTCACTCTCTCTCTCTCTCTCTTGAAAGAGATCAGCATACAAACGTCAACGGATGACTTTGACTTGATTGTTTATGAGAACTTTGCGTCACGCTCCCTGCGCGATGCGAACGAGCGAGAGGAGCGGTCGCGATAGTCGGCGAGGGGTGGATTAGGGCGATCATTTGCGAGCACGACGGAGAACCCAGCTAAGTCGTCTCCGATGCGCGCACATGTAGGTTTGTAGCGCGAACACGGGGTGCGTTCTGTAAATCCCCCATTGTTCACCGAGCGGTCAGCTACGCCCCTCTACAGGCGAAAGGATTGTAATTTTACGATGAGGGGTGAGAAGAGAAAAGGAGAGAGAGAGAGAGAAATGGGGGAGAAGACCACCACCGGTTCCACCGGTCGGACCCTTAAAGGGGACAGGTCGAGCATCCTCGCTCGCATTGTGCTACGGCTTGAACTCCGCCCCTCCTGCCCTGCCACCCCCTTTTCTAACTTCCAACCGGGCCGACATTTTTTCCCCGCTGCATGCTTTCCTTCCCGCTCGCTCGCCACGAGGTCTCTCTCCTTTTCCTATTCCCGATTATGCTCGGGCCTAGTTCTTGCGAGAGCTCACGAGATCACCGCGGGGCAGCTGAGCGCGCCAAGGTCGAACGAGAACGAGTTTCGAAAGAGCGACCCAGTGACGCCCCGGCTGGTTGCGCAGCGCAGGAGGACGACACGTGGCGTGGCGCGCGCAAAACAGAGAGAGAGAGAGAGACCCAAGCTGAAAGAAATTTGAGAGATCGGGCAGACCTTTCTTACTGACACGTCGCGCACTCTGACCCCGGGGGGAATACAGCCGCGAGAACAATGCCGTTTTCCCGAAATTAGTCGAAACCGAAAGGTTTCGAAAGCTGCTTCTTGAAATCCAAGGAAACAGGGGCACCTGTGCAGTATCCGG